CTTCCATTTGATAATGCTATCTTCTTATACTATTATAAGTCCTGTCTTATACACCTGTGGGTTAGATAATAGCTAGTTCATGAGGAGAAATTTAGATAGCCTGGTCACCTAGTGTACTATGGTCAGGCATTTAAGCATAACCAGTGTTGAAGAGAGCAAGACTTTTTTCCCTAAAACCCCAGGTTCTCCACCAGGATTCTACTGTTGGGACTTGCCATAAGATCTATACAACATCCTGCCACGGACACTTAAAAACCATTCGGTCCATAAAAGGAAAGCACTAGAGTTATTTTCATGGCAATCTAGGTCAGTTGGAGAGACTTTTCTTGCTCTAGGCACAACTCAAAGCTGGCAGTCTTTTAGGTCTCCTCGGAAGGAAGATGGGGCAATCTACTTCCGTAGTAATATCTCTTCTTGGAAGCCCAAGGAGGGGTCGCTATGAGTCGGGTCCGACTCGAGGGCACATAACAATAACAACGTAAATAGGTGAGGAGCTCTGGCAGCATAATACCTAAGGCACTTGACTGCTAACCAGAAGGCTGGTGGTTCAAACCCACCAGGAAGTGGTGGAAGGAAGTGGAAAGAAGGTTGGGCAGTCTACTTCCATAGTGATACTGCTTCGGAAACCCAAGGAGGGGCTACTATGAGACTGCGAAGAAAGAGTGGCAAACTACTTCTAAAAAAATCAGCCAATGGATCACAATGGTTCAATTCCATTGTGCATGGGTCACTACAAGTTGGGGCTGACTCAACAGAAGCTTACAATACAAATACATTAACAACATAAATAGGAGGAAGCTGCCCAAATATCATGCTGTCAACAATGGTTCCTACTTACCAGCTATTCCTAACTTTTCCTTTACAAACAGTACCCAAATTTTGTTCAGAAAATAGGCAATAAAGAGCTCAGACAAGGTAGGTAGGACTCTCCTTATCTCTGGGAGATAAAGCATGATAGGTCTAGTTTCTCCCTCTTTGCTAGGGATTGATTAAGGAGCTCTGGTGGCATAGTGCCTAAGGCATTTATTTGATTGTGAGCCATAAGGTTGGTGGTTCAAACCCACCAACCACACCACAGAAGGAAGACTGGGCAATCTTCTTCCGTAAAGATTTACTGCCTTGGAAACCCAAAGGGGTCACTATGAGTTGGAATCAACTTGATGGCAGTGAGTTTGGTTTTTGGTTTTTTAGTGATTGATGGAAGATAAACAAGTGACCTAATTCTGGTGAATGAAACATTAAGGGAAGTCTTCTGGGGAACTTACAGGAGAGATTACCCTCTTTTGAATAAGCAAATAAATAAATAAATGTGAAGATAAAACCCTTTCCTCCCAACCTCTGGATGTTGTCATGTGAGGACATGACAACTGGAGCTGATTCAGCTATCTTGTGACCATGAACTATACCCCTGACATCATTGAACAAAATTTATCAATCCACCTCTTGACTTTAGTTGTGTAAGATAGTAACTCTTTGTTTTCTAAGCCTCTTTCACTCGAATATTATTTTCAGGCAAAACAACCTAATTGATACATATGGGATATCAATTAGCTACCTCCAAAAATCACTGTGGATCAGCCACCATTATTTACCAGATTGGTCCTGCTGCCCATCATGTTACTAATCATACTTTATCTTGCCTCTTTTGCCTTGCTACTTGGCCTTAATAAGGAGATTACTTTCTGGCCCTTCTCATGGAATATGAGAAATGGATTATATAAACAGGTGACACATGATAAATCCTCTTCAATATTCTTGTCTAAATCTTTGTATTTCTTCTTTTACTGTATACAAAGAAATATTTGGTAAGTCAACTTCATTTAAACATGGATATGTTTTGAGCTCTGATTTCAACCCATAAATAGGAGAGACAATTTTAACCACTTCTGTCTGTTAGATTAGTACAGTGAATACAGAATTTCTAGTAAGGGCACCTATAGTAATAAATTCAGTCTGATCTAAAATTATGTTCTTCCTTCCTTGGCCTAGCTTTTTTTAATAATCCCTTAAAAAATGAGGAGGCCTTAACTAAAGCAGCAGCACTGAGGAGAGAAGGTACAAGACGAGAGCTATTTAGCAAGTACTTGCTTCAGGACTTCATGATGACAGACTGAATAGGAGTCATAGCGACCCTTACTGGGTTTCCAAATTTTTATGAAGCAGGCTGCCTCATCTTTCTCACCTGGTCAGTTGAAACCACCATCCTTTTGGTTAGGATCCAAATGCCTTAACCACTACACCACCAAAACTCCTTATGTTGTTATGAGCCATGGAGTCCACCCTGACTCATAGCAACCCCTCCTTGGGTTTCCGAGGGGATATCACTAAGGAAGTAGATCGCCCAGCCTTTCTTCTGAGGAGTGGCTGGTGGGTTTGGTTAGCAGTCAAGTGCCTTAGGCACTATGCTACCAGAGCTCCCAAAGACATGTCTAAAACCCCACTCCAAACCAAATCCACAGTCAATTCTGACTCACACCTACTCTGTACGACAGAGTTGAACTGCCCCATAAAGTTTCCAAGCCTGTAAAATCTTTTCGTAAGCAGATTACCTTATATTTCTTCCACCGAACGACTGGTGGGTTCTCAAACCACCAACTTTTTGGTTAGCGGCCAAATGCTTTAACCACTACACCACCAGAGTTCCTGGAAGGCATCCCTAGGAGGCATTTATATCCCCAAGGCTGACGTTTACGGAATCCATCCTGACTGTAGAAAATAATCTTAAAGTCCTTCTTACATAAACAGAATTTAAAACCCACAGTGTGGATGAGATCACTAGGAAGACAGTGTACATACAACAAACTGAAAGATTTTGGAATGGAAGCTTTGAGATCGCCAACCCTTAAGGTATGTACTGAGGAAAAATAGCCATGCAAAAGAATGAAAAAAGAAAAAAAGAGGGAAGTGTTCTGTGTGGCTGAGCTACTCTAGTAAAATCAGCATCTACAACAATCAGGGTTTAAGAGTAAATCAGCAAATACTCCATCCTCTCGCGCTCGCTCTCTCTGCCCTCAGGCTCACTTTCAAAACACATCAAACGCTTCCACTTTCTAGACTTGTTGCTCCAGCCTCCCCCGCTTTGTAAAGTTCTCTCCTGTGTCCTATCATCCGCCAATATCCGGTGCACCCTTCAGGAGCTGCTAGAATGAGGGCTTAGAAAGTTTCCCTAATGATGCTCCTCTCCTTTGTGCTCCCTTTATTATCCTCACATCCCACAGTTTCCTTTAAGAAAACTCGGCGATGAGTACCTGAAGGGGCTGCACTTTTCTCAACCTAATGCCGCAACACCTACTAGAGAATGCCGGAGCCACACTCCAGGCCCCACCCTTCCTACCCAAAACTTCGCAAACCCTGCCCCTCCCTCAAGCGGAAAAAAAAAAACAGCACTAGACACAAACTACCCCACACACACACCGCCCCCTGAGCCTTAGGAAGGGCCCCCCCGGGTCCGCTCCTGGCGCCCGCCCCGCCCACTCCCCGCCCCCTGCGCATGATGGAAGCAGGTCGGCGCTGGGCGCACGCCCCGCCCCGCCCACATCCCACCCCCTTGCGGCCCAGTTGAAGGCCTGCCCGGTGCTGACTCGAACTGTTCGATATGGCGAACCAGGTACGTCTGGGCTGTACCCGGGCCCGAATCTGAGGGAGAGCATAGGTGGGACTGCCCTGCTGGCCTCGGTGGCTGCCCGAGGCTTGGCTCTGGGATGGGCGTCGGCTCTCGGAGCTGAAACTGGCCTGTGGAGACCGTCTTAGAGGAAAACGCACTGCCTTGGAGTCGGATCCGACTCATAGCGACCCCTCCTTGGGTTTCCGTGGTCGTATCACTATGGAAATGGATTGCCCAACGTTCCTTGCGAGGAGTGGCTAGTGGGTTTGAACCGCCAGCCTTCTGGTTAATAGTCAAATGCCTTAGGCACTACGCCACCAGAGCTGCTTCTTAGAAGAAAGGGAGGGAAGAAAGCTTAGTTTTGTTCCTCACTTGGGAGGGAGCTGGAGCCGGGTAGAGGGTAGAAGAATCGGAATTGTGGAGGGGCAGAGTGGCGGGGGGGTAAATCTTCTCAGTATCCTCTTGAGAAGATTTACGTCATTTGAGTGCCAGGCTTCGCTCTTTGCGCGAAACTGACTTGCCCTGTTGGTAACAATAACAGCCTGAAAGCCCATCAGCATAGAGTGGGAGAACAATGTGGAACAAAATTCTACATTATTAAAAAAAAAAAAAAAAAAGACCAGCCTTGCTGTCTGATAGAGCCTGGTGAAATACCTGAGACTATGGCCTCTAGCTGTTCTTCAGGTCTGGAATTGAACTCCTCTGGCTTCCAGCCAAATAAAAGACCAGCATATGGGCTGAACATTTACATCAGGTAGCTACATTCCTTGGAGAGATCAATCATGGGAGAACAAAAGGGGAGTGTATGCAGAGGGAGACCGCTGGTGGGGGGAAGGTGGGGGGTAGGTGCAGTAATGCATGGGAGGGAAGGACACAGGGAAGAAGTAACTATGGGGAGGAGATGGGAAGAGAGCTGTTACATTGTGGAAGATTGCAGTCGATGTCATGAGACAAAAGGTGTATGAACTACTGTATGGAAAACGAATTTGCTCTGTAAACTTTCACCCAAATCACAATTTAAAAAAAAACCATCAACAGTTGAATACATAAACAAAATGTGGTACATACATATATACAATGGAATACTACTCAGCCAACAGGAGAAATGAAGTCTTACATGCTGCAGTATGGATGGAGCTTGAAGATATTACACTGGACGGACAAATGTTGTATGACTTCACATATAAAAAAGACAAGAAAGGGCAGATGTACAGAGACCAACTTTTATTAGTGATTACCAGGGGCAGGAGGGAAGGGGTAATGGTGATGGAAAAATCTCATTGATTAAGGGTAACAGTGCACAGCTGATTATTGTAATTGCTGTCAATAAGTTGTACATCTGTAAAAAGGTGAATTGGCAAAAAGTTGTGTAATAGATAACAACAACCCCCCAAAAAATAGTTGGGATTTGGCTCCTTGGTTTGGAGGTTTGGGGTCATGGTTTCATGGGACATCCTAATTAATTGGCCTAATAACTAATAATGTTTAGAGCTTCTCTTCTACTTTCTAGTTGGATATGTAGTACCTGGGGTCATAAAAGCTTGCAAGTGGCCATCCAGGACAAAAATTGGTCTCTATTCATCTGGAGGAATAGAGGAAGAAGAGTTAGGAAAAGGAGGAGAATATAGAATGTGTAGCTAATTGCCTCCATTACCAACTGCCTCTTCTGCCACGAGACAGATGGTGCCCAGCTACCACTACTGAACATTTTGAGCAGAGATGCCATAGAAGAATCCTGAATAAAAGGGGGAGAGGGAATTCAGAATAGAATTTAAAATTCTCATGGACTCAAAAGGTGGATGAACCCCAGAAACTATTGCCCTGAGATAATCTTTAAACCTTAAACTAAAAACATCTCCTGAAGTCATCTTAAAACTGAATAATAGTTTAGCTAAACTAGTTAAAAAAAAAAAAAAAAAAGGCCTGCCTTGAGCATCATGCTCCAAGAACTGTGTGTGATCAAATTGATAACTATCACTCAGAAGATTAGATAGGAACCTTGTGGACATGAGTTTGTGTTAATGAGGGAGGAATACCTCAGAAAAGATAGGTGAGAATGGTTGTACAACTTGAAGAATGTAATCATTTTCACTAAATTGTATGTGTGGAAACTGTTGAATTCGTATAGTTTGCTGTGTATATTCCCAACAACAACAAAATAAATAGAATTTGTTGTTGTTAGGTGCCACTGAGTTAACTCCAATTCATAGTGACCCTATGTACAACAGAAAGAAACACTGTCCAGGCCTGTGCCAGCCTCCCAATCCTTGTTATACTTGAGCACATCATTGCAGCCACTGTGTTGTTAATCCATCTCATTGAGGGTCTTCCCCTCTTTCGTCAACCTTCCCTTTACCAAGCATGATATCCTGAATGGTCCCTTCAGACAACATGACCAAAGTAGGTGAAATGAAGGCTGGTCATTCTTGCTTTCAAGGAGCATTCTGGCTGCACTTCTTCCAGGATAGATTTGTTAGTTCTGGCAGTCCATGGTACTGTCAGTATTCTTCACCAACACCACAACTCAAAGGCATCAACTCTTCTTTGGTCTTCCTTATTCATTGTCCAGCTTTCACATGCATAAGAGGCGATTGAAAATACCATGGCTTGGGTTAGGTGGCCTTAGTCTTCAAAGACACACGTTTGTTCTTCAGCACCAGAATTTAGACAGGGAAACCTAACTTGCCTCGGGGCATGCTTTTAAGTGGCAAAGCTACAGCAGAGCTTGTCCTAGGTTGTCTTGCATTTCATAATTATAATCCGTAATTGAGCCTAAAGTCAAGTACTGTGCCACCAAGGAGTGTATTTGAGGAAGACTACTATGTCCCTTTCCGTAGCATTTTTGAGCACCTAGGTAGTATGTTGTATCTTCTTAATTTTCACATAACACCTCCACGAGGTATGATCCCCTTTTCTCAGACAGAAACTGAGGCTTAGAAATTATTTGTGGTTGGTGGTCACACCAGGGATAGATAGGGAGCTGGGATTCCCTCTGGTGTCTGTCCCTTTGCAACAGAAACCATTCCCGGTTCCTGCAATACAAATTAGTCTATACAGAGGAGCAGAAATGTGGCTAATTACATTAAAAACCAATCTAAAGTTGCTAATTGTTCTAATGCTTTGCAAATCTTAGACATTTTTTAGAAAGATTTAGGACCTTAAATGTTGACATTTAAAAGGTAAGTGCTGAAACAGTCTCTCAGATTTCACAAATGGGCAGTCGTTTTTCCATATTACCAAGCATCTCAATTCAGAAAAGGTGGAAAATTATAATTCGTTATATAGTTTAAATGTTGCAGTCAAGCAGTTACCTGTGGGTTTAAAGTAGGGCTTTGTTTTGCTTAGAATTGTCCTTGACAGGAAAAGGTTAAGCTCTTTTAGAAGACTTTTTAAAAGAAGGGACATAAAACTTAGATTCTGTATGAGCAGTCATATATTCTTGTTGCTTCAGAAGTAACTCTAGGTTACCTGACTTCATTGTTTTTATTCTGAATTTGACCTTTGGGATTTTGTTTTGAGACTTATAGTATCTAAGGGTGGAAAAAAAAAATTCTGTTGCAGTGTCTGAGTTCTATCTACACTACAGTATTAAAGGGATAATTTCCAGCCTCACCAGTTTACACAGGCCACTCCTTATACCTAAGTTCACCTCTCCTTTTCCTCCACTCTTTGTTCTACTTATAATAATAGCTACTAACTTATGTTTGTGTAGTGCCTAAGGCACTTGACTGCTAACCAGAAGGCTGGCTGTTCAAACCCACCAGCCACTCCTCGGAAGGAAGGTTTGGCAATCTACTTCCGTAGTGATACCGCCTCGAGAACCCAAGGAGGGGTCGCTATGAGTCGGGTCCGACTCAACGGCACATAACAACAACAACTTGTTTGCAAAGCTACACTGTGCTGAGGACTGTATTAGAGGCTTCATACTCATTTTCATTTACTCCTTATAGTTATCCTCTATCACCATTTGTAACTTTTCCTCATCTATCCTGTGATACTTTCCCCAACGCTTGCAACCAAAGTTATGCTCTTTCCCCACTTTTTGCTTTCTGTGCCACTTTGTGCAAATCCTTTAATCAGACTGTTTTGTAATTACTGACTTTCAAGTCTATCTGCTATAAACCCAGTGGTTTGCAACCTTTATTTTGTCAACACATTTCATAAGTATTATATGAATTGTTCCAAACCTTCCTCATTATGTTTGATTCTCTGGTGAAGGCGTGTACTGACTAGTATCTCTTAAGGCAATAATATCCCATGGAAAGACTATATGAGCCAATATGTAATTTTAAATTTTCTAGTAGCCATATTACTCACTGCTGTCAAGTCAATTCCGACTCATAGCAACCCCTCCTTAGGTTTCCGAGGCGTTGTCCTTATGGAAGTAGACTGCTCAGTCTTCCTTGGGAGGCATTCAAACCCACCAGCCTCTGGTTAGCAGTCAAATACCTTAGGCACTACACCACCAGAGCTACCAGGAGCCATATTAGGGTAGCATAAATTGAAACCAAATGATCACGCCTTAAGGAGCTCTGGTGGCATAGTGGGTAAGACATTTGGCTGCCAGCCAGCAGGTCAGCAGTTCAAACCTACCACGGGAGGAAGATAACCAAAGTACTTCCCTACAGATTTACAGCCTTGGAAACCCAAATTCACTATGAGTCAGAATTAACTTGATGGCAGTGGATTTGGTTTTGGTTTAGTAGCCACATTAAAGAGAGTCAAAAGTGAAATTAATTTTAATAAAAGCTTATTTAATCCAATTTAACTGCTAACTAGAAAGCTGGCGGTTCAAACCCACCAGCCACTCCTGGGAAGGAAGGTTGGACAATCTGTATGTACTTCATGGTAATACCGCCTGCGAAACCCAAGGAGGGGTTGCTATGAGTCAGATCGCACTCACAGCAGTGAGTTTAGGATGTTTTTGGTATTCGACAGTACTATTTGAATTTATAATTGATTTTTTTAATGTTGTTGAGATATTTTTACTGTTTTGGTACTGAGTCTTCAAGATCAGGGTATAGTTTACACTTGCAGCATATCTTAGTTCAGATTAGCCACTTTTCATGTGCTCAGTACCATGTTTAGCTAGTGGCTACTGTTTTGAACAAACCAAAAAAAGAAAAACCACTGCCATTGAGTAATTTCAACTCATTGTGACTCCCGTTGGGTTTCTAAGGCTGTAAATCTTTAAGGAAGCAGCCTGCCTCATCTTTATTCCACAGAGTGGTTAGCAGCCAAATTCCTTAACCACTATACCGCCAGAGCACCTTTATGCGTTGTAAAGGATCATTAAATATTTGTTAGATAAAACTTTTTAACCAAAAGAGTCTTTTCTATCTCAAGCATGTGGTCATCTTAATTTTTAAAATGAATAACATTACTTACATGAAATCTAAAAATATGCAAGCAATTTATCTATTTTACTTACAGGTACATGTTTCTTTGTGAATCTCTGGTAAATTTCCCAAGATGTACATTCAGTAGTATCTAAATTGACTGGTAAGTACTTTATTATTGTTTTCAGAACATAAACAGCTTGTTCTCTTTTCTCCTCATTTTAGGTTATCAAGTGCAAGGCTGCAGTAGCCTGGGAAGCTGGAAAGCCTCTCTCCATAGAGGAGATAGAGGTGGCACCCCCAAAATCTCATGAAGTTCGAATTAAGGTAATAATATACGTAAGGCACTGGAAAAGAAGACCTACAGTTAGGTCTCTGGGTAGATGAGTAGATCTGAGGTCTGCAGAGGATATATCCCAAAGGACAGTGTCAAGGAGAAGTGTCAAGCCTCTTCTTAATTTATCTCTCTCATCTTTGCACCACTCTTCTCCATCTTTTTTTAGCTTTGAGCTTGGGCTGAGCAGCACAGTCCATAGAAATCACTGGGTTACTGCAATTTATCTTCTGTAGCCTGGGTATAAAGTGACTCTGTAGGATGCTCCACTTCCTGCTGAGCCTATAAATTAAAATGTCTTGTGACACATTAGAAACAAACAAAAATTAATATTTTTAGAAGGGACGTCACATAACATTTTTAAAGGGGTTCTAATTGACTGGAGCAATAAACAAGTGAAATCTTGCTTAAACCCAACCATTGCCATGGAGTCTGATGCAACCCATAGTGACCCCTCCTTGGGTTCTGAGGTGGTATCACTATGGAAGTAGATTGCCCAGCCTTCCTTCTGGGGAGTGGTTGGTGGGTTTGAACCGCCAGCCTTCTGGTTAGCAGTCAAGTGCCTTAGGCACTATGCTGTCTTGCTTAGAGAGCTTTATAATGTACTGACCCTTGCAGGCAAGGCCAGAATTCAGGGAATTCATTATTCTAGTATATCTCAGAGTTTGCTGTGGCAGAGAAGTGAAGTTACCCCTGGACTGAGGCATATTGCACGAGGTACCCAGTGGGAAAGATCTTTGAAACCTTGAAACTTATAATACTTCATGTTTTCAACTTTCTGCTCTGTGCTTATTTGATGTAAATTAGAGAAAACTCCAACTTCAAAGTAGTCACCATTGAATAAAAACACGTTTTAGGAAAATAACCCATTTTTACTACGGCTTTGGTTATACTTCCCCTCATCCCACCTCCAGACACACCACATGCATATACTCTCATGACTCAGGGATCACACATTAACAGGTTTAGAAGCTGAGGGCCAAATGACTGTTCCAGGTGCTTTTCAATGCATGTCCAAAAACCTAAAATCTTACAATATTTTATTTTATTTATTGATTGATTGATG